ATTTTTTAAAGATAATAATTAAGTATTCTATTAGAACTCAATGATTATCTTAATTATATTTTAAATTTTTTATATTCAAAAAATAAGATAGTTTATCTTGTATTTGATTATGTTTATCTGCAATGAGTTACACGAATTCAGATATGGAGCTTTAATAAGTTGTACTTACGCATAATCTATTTGTAATCTTGAGTTTTAAGTAATATGCATTAATAAAAAAGTAGTTTTTAAGAGTTTTTTGTCAAATGCTTTATAATATATTATATATTATTATTTTTTATAATTTAATTTAAGTTTAATAATGAAATAATTTATTTTTGATTTAATAATATAACATTTTATAAAGATAATAATTAAGTATTCTGTTAAAACTCAATAATTATCCTAATTATATTTTATATTTTTTATATTTAAAATAAGATGTTTATCATGTATTTGATTGTGTTTATCTGCAGTTAGTTACACGAATTCAGATATGGGATGAAATCGTTTAGGGATGAACGGGTTTAAAAGTTTTTAAGAGTTTTTAAGAGTTTTATCCAAATGCTTTATAATATAGTATAGATATATCCCTCAAGTTATATGATTAAAAATATTAATTATAAAACCTATGCCTTACAAAATAATGCGTTGTAACGTGTCATAACATGTCATGACGGAAGCCAAGCCCTTGGAATGGAGCCACAGGGGTTAACGTGGCGGCGAAGCAAAGCCTCAAAACTATAGCACACCATAACAATTTATTTAGAACCATGGTATTTACATGCTTAATAGAAAATATCAAAGCCTGTTACACTTGTTAACATTATCTAGCGAATTTAGAAAACGTATTTACCGGCAATCTAAAAATATCATAAAAAGATAAAATAAACATTATCAAGATTTCTAAAACGAAACAAAGCAAATATTCCATCTGTTGGTACTAGTATTGTTTAGTATAGGACCGACGGTTTAACGTTTTTCGGAAGATGGGAACAAACCACTCTACCATTTCCAAATATTCCATCTGGTTCGATTCAATTTGATTTGGACTGGTCAAGGTTTGGCAAGTTAAGACCATGTTTGGTTTTTTCTGGTTCATACCAAAAAATGGAATAGAAAAATGCACTTTTATGCAAGTTTACAAAAATCATTTCAATACGGTTTAATTTTGAAGTAATCGACCAAGATTCATGTATAACCAAATATCTCATCCACAAGATCAAATATGTTTCAACTTTCTATAACAAATTACATCTCATAATAAGATCAATGGAACTCTTTTTAGCCTTTTCAAGCTCCTTTATACCCTCATTCGTTTCTTCCTCTTCATCAAATTACAAAAAAAAAAAAACCCTTTTCTACTCCCATTATGTTATCGCCTACCAATCCGAAAACTATGCACATCTTAGGTAGTGTAAATCAATCAGAAAGGAACAGTATATGGCAACGCGTGTATATCAACCTCGGCCAAGAACCGCGCACATGGCTGCCACAAGCACGCTGCTGATTCATGGCACGTATCAACATCAGCCCTGCTGGTGCTTGATCTGCTGCCCTTTTTCTCACTTCTCGACAGCCAATCTTGATCATCGTCAACTGGTGGCGGAACTTCAAGAACTGCAGGGATCCAACTTCCTATCAGCTTTTCATATTTCGAGTGCTTCTTCTGCAATTTTTTCTCAAATCGTGTAGGTTCCACTTTCTGTTCTTTGCTGCTGTTAACAGGGACTGTGATTTCACTAATGGACCTTTTTCCTGTAGGCCGAACTGACATTCCAGAACTTGGAGTTGACTGTTCATCTCTACCGGAATGAAACCCTTGTAAAGATGGAGGTGGCACACTTAAAGTGGGATTTGGTGGTAGCTCGTGTTTCAAATGAATTTGAGGTGGAACCGATCTTCCATGGCTTGGAATTGGCTGTTGTCTGCTTGGATGAGGCACATCTACGTCACTCTTGCTTGATCGTGATGGAACTGGTATCCCAGTCTTGTTTAAAACTGAACTTGGAATCTCATGTTTCAACTGACTTGAAGGCAGAATCGGTCTTCCAGAACTTGGAAGTGACGGTGACGGTTTTCTACTAAACCGAAGCCCTTGTAGATCGTTATTTTTTGTTTCAGGGTTTTCAGAACTCCAAGTTGACTTTGTTTGACCCAGATTCAGATTCCGGTGAACTGCAATGTTTTCTCTACCGGATGTTGCTGGGACTCCAGTGTTTCTATTACCCGAAACCAACGGTGTTCTATCTTCACAGCGAAGTCCATTAACAAGGTTGGAAGTAGATGGCTTAGGTGGATTGGTGTTCCGTGAAGTTGAAATTTTCCAAGTGTTCAATCTGGCATCTGCACCAGCGAGAGACTGTGGATCAGTTCTTCCGGAATTAGAGCATAAAGTTTCTTTGCTGGAATCAGGTCCTTTCTGCTTCTTTAGTAATCGGATCTTGATTGGTTTCCCTGTTTGATATTGTAAGATTAGCATCTACTTGAACAATAAGAAACACAAAAAAGACGATTATAAAACAAATGCAACTAACCATGACCACCGGTGCCATCAGGTACAATAGCATCATCTCTTTTCCTTTTGTTGCTATTTTGTGTGCTATCAGATGAATAGCTTGGTTTGTGCGAACTGATAGGCTGACCATGCTCTTCTGTCAGATCACTCTTTTCCAATAGTTCAACGGTAGGCTCTGTTCTCTTGTTATGGGCTTCTTTGGAACCAACTGAACTCTGTAACACTTTACAAGCATCATGCTGATATTCATTTGGGTTCTTCTGTAACTTCCCCTTCTCTTCATCCTTTCTTTTTTCTTTTTCCTTCTTGTCTTTCTTTGCTCTCTTTTGTTTCTTCCTTTCTGCCTTGGCCTTATCAGTTTCCTTCTGGAGCTTTAATAGCACCAGGAAAACAAATTTAGAACCAAAGGTAACATAGTGCGCATGCCGGAACTATAACAACATAGTGTGATTGCCAATCACATAAAGTGGTCAACATGTAAGAGAGCCGAAGATCACAACTCTCATGGATATGTTGTACCAAACATTAAGGGTCACAAAGATTACATAAAAAACCAGAGACTTCACTAGATATGATGCCTAAATTCTTCCCTAATGAGACACGTTACACATACCCTAAATTATCTAACAATCACATGCCACCAGCAACACTGGAAGAAAAATTTTTCTTGAAATTATGCAGGTCCATTGCAAACTTTTAATATGAATGACTACAAACATTGTAGATTTTTATTGAAGCTTTCAAGTTCAGAGAGAGACCAAATAACAAGTAACCAACTATTTAGCTTTTTAACAACCAAATAAATTTATCTTTGAAACTTCTTAAATTTTCCTAAAAACAGAACAACTTGAACAAACATGAGCATCAATTTGATCAAATAACAACAATGGCCATGAAAAGGCATACAAATATTAGATTGAAGTGTCAACTAAACCAAATGGTTGTTTCAGGAAAGTAAGAATCAAAAACCTTTTTTTTTTTTTTGGAAAAAATGGAAGCAAGGTCAATATCATCAAATCATAGGTTTCTTCAGTAAAGAGCTCTATAAGCTAGTTAACTGAAAACACCTATAAAACAGACAATACAACAATCAAATGCTACCATATAGAACGCCTAACACATTACACACCCACTACAAGGTCTTTTAAACCAATTTAACCAAAACATTGGCTATGTCCCGAACACACACTAGATGCTCTACCATCATACATGTTCTATGAAAAAACGAATTTGATTCCCATTGTAACCTACTACTGATTCGTCACTCATGCTTGAGGGTAACAAATATCCTTCAACGTATTCTTACACTAACAATTCTCCTAATCAATGGGTCCAATTTTTCCTGAACTCTAGCAGCAATGCTGTTCTAAAATAACCAAACTCTCATTCCCATTATAGGCCACTATGAAGTCCACAAAAACCTGAGGATATTAAACATTAACAATACTTTGGTGCATGGTCGACTATTATCTCACCCTAGATCATTCTAGATTTCAAGTACCAGATTTCAATTAAACCATAACAAATCCTTAACTAGCCATCTCAGTAAGTACTCGATTTCACCCTTAGCCACCGCTTTAAATCGTCTAGAAGATCACTTAAATTGAACAACAATAATCCACCAATCAATACCGACAAATCATTCTTACAGATGAAAGCATACTCCTAGTTTCGTCCACAACCGACCCAAAAATCCAATCAATCGCTGATAAACACAAATTTTATATCTGCGAACGCATGCCTTCTGATTCTTCATATTAATAACATGTAGAACATATACATCGGATCGGTCTTTTGCTAGATTACACAGTTCAGACGTACATAAAGAGATACAACCCTTTTTTGACATGAATATCACAGAAACACAACAGATCTCAAAAGTGCTTTCTTACAAACCTTAATCGATTCGATCAAGGCCTCATATGTAGCTCCGTTCCTACTATAACCAGGAGGAGGGTACGGAAAGCACCGAGACATCCTCGATTGTTCCCTCAAGATCGAATCGAAAGGATATGAGAGGCAAAAATACCCCAAAACCTAAAGATTAGAGTTGAAATCGGCGGGTTTAATAGACCTAGTAAAGATCTAAAGAACCCGAGTGGAGATATCTCTGGCGCCCTAGATTTTTTTTTGAAACTAGGGTTAGGGTTTCGACGGCAGAGAGCTTGAAAGAGGTCTTGAGATTGAAGGTTTGCGTATTGTGTTTTTGTTGAGGGTAAGGCAGTATTTATATAGGGGGGTTCGCCGACCTTAGACGCGTAATTCACACTATGGGCCTTATATGGGCCTATTTTTGTGGGCCTCCGCCATTACTTGTAAGTTGTAATATTTACATATTTTGTTTTTTATTTTATTTTTAGAGGGGAGTTCAAACGAGAACAGACGTATTAGCAGCGATGAAAAGAAATAACGGATCAATCTTTAGGCATTACTTTTTATTTATTTTGTCTTAGTTATCGTTGAATGCCCCTCCGTCTTTTTAAAATAACCAGTGGATTGTTTATTGATAGAAAACATTTTATACATACATACATACACACATATCTATGCTATATTATAAAGCATTTGACAAAAATCCTTAAAAACTACTTTATTATGCGTAAAGTACTGTTTATTAATGCATATTACTTAAAACTCAAGATTGCAAGTAGATTGTGMGTAAGTACAACTTATTAAAGCTTCATATCTGAATTCGTGTAACTAACTGCAGATAAACAAAATCACATAAAGGATAAACATCTCGTTTTAAATATAAAAAAAATCTAAAAT